TAATATTTTTTGAAAAGCAGAAGCAATAACTTCGATATACTTCAAAAAAATTTAAATATTAAATTATTTTCGAATAATTAATGCTTGATACGAATCGTTAGATATTATTTTTAAATGTAACATGCGATGTTCTAAAATAAAATGACATCTTTCTGTGGTGGACATAGCAGTATCCAAAATCCTATGGTCATATTCAAACGATTTTGATAGTGATGCATGGCTGTCAATGTGATTATATATATATATATATATATATATATATATATTATAAACATTATTTTCTTCATAAAAAAAATCTTGATCACACAAAACTTATTACAAGTTTTCAGTACTTGGAATTCGATTATTTCTTTTTTTGCCAGCTCAATCTGATTATTTCACAGTAAATATATTATTATAATAAAATTATATGGATAAAATGTATAAAAATAAGTCTTTTTTTTTTCATATTATTTTTCTTATATGATTTCATTTGTAAAGCACTTTTAACATATTCACCAGAGAATTAAGAAAAATCTTTGCCCCATTAATCTATCTTAAAATTTAATAATTTTTCAACTTTACTTTAATACATACATACTTTTCAAAAAGAAATTTATATATTCCACATAATAATAAATTAGAGATAAAATTATAACATGCATCTAATAAATTCAGTGATATGATTTATATTCAAGACATTTAAAAGTACATGATGAGGAAGCAAGTGAATCAATTGATGTGAAGTCCAAGGAATTCGAAATTTGAAATTCAAGGCCAAGAGCAGTCTCCAATTGTCGGTTATAGCGTTCCATCTAAATTAATTGAATGCTATTGAAAGAGAAAGGCGTACTGTATATATATATAATGAAGTTGAACAAATTTATATATGCAATAAAATTCTTCTATATCCAGAATAGTTTGGAATTTATTTAACATTCTATAATAAATACTGTGAACGTTCGTTGGCTTTCTCCCTTTTGGCACATTCTTTTTCTCAACTTAGCAAATTCAAATTTTTTAAGAAATTGAAACTTAAAATTTTAAATATGTGCATATATGCATGTAAGTATGTAGAGTTGGGAGTGTTTGGCAACTCCCAATAGTACTTAAAAATAGTAATTTTACACTAAGAGCAAGATAATTAATTTAAATAAATTAAAAAAGACTAAAACAATCAATTAATTATAGTAAATATGATATAACTTTCTTAAAAACCCATATATAATATTATATTATATATTAATATATGAGTTAGGTAAATTAATTTAAAAAATAATAAAAAAGATCAAAATTTTATATTTATATAATCAAATCAAACTTCAACTAGCTATTGTAGAAAGCGTGGGAGGGATTGAATTTTTTTGGAGTGAGAAATAACAAGATGATAATTAATAATAAATGCTTATTTTCACACATTTAGAAACTAAAAAAATTTCACGAACAAACTTTAAAAAAGCATGTACTGGTTGTTTGTATGTGATCTAAACTCTAAAGCTAAAATGGGTTTTATGTGGTTTTGAATATTAAAAATTTAGGAAAAATCATTTTATGCAAATTTGATAATATATGAAAAGCTTTTTTTGCCATCGATAATATATATCAGGTTGAGTTCATCCATTCAATTATAAAATTAATATTGAACAATATATCTCCTAAAGCTCGAATCTGCATTTGTTTGTGATATTCGACATCACATGGTTATCACAAAAAGAAAAAAAGAGAAAAGAAAGAAACTTTGTGGAAATTTTTTTTAATACTAGATGCATTAATTTTTTTCCTTAATTAGTAATGACCATTATGATTAAATGAGACTATATTTAAAATTATTTAACATTTATTGGAAATATTAATTAAGCAATATTATCATGGCCCATAGCATAGCATTGAAGCAGCACAAGAAGGAAATTTTAATTTGGCGAAGTATAAGAATAAAAGCATTTAGTTCAATATTTCCCGCCCGCAAAAGAGATGGAAATAAAGATTTTTAAAGAAGCTAATAATTATCAAAACAATCCTTTTGTCTTTTCAGATTTGGGCACTCTCCTTTAATTTAATTTACCCGTCTCGTCTAAGAATGATGCCTAATAGCAAGAAGCCGAATATAACCTTAATAGATTGAATTGCTTGATTGATTAGAAGAATCAGTGTTCTTGGGAGAATAACTTAAGAATAAAAATGTAATTTAACTCATATTTATAATATTAAATTCATGCAAATGAAATAAGGCAAGAAAGATGTTATTATCGGCAGATCATCGAGCGTAGGAGACAGAGCAGGAAGAGGGACAGGTGGAGAAATAATGATGGAATTGCATGTGGTAGGGTAGGATGAGCTTTGAACCATGTGTAATGTAGGCATACACTGCTATTTTAACAAAAATAAAATATATATATATATAATTAATTATTAGGTAATTTTCATGTTCATCATGGACATATCTATAAATTGGAACATATATTTAGAAGTTAGTTATTAGTTTTACCCCTTTTTTAATATTAATGGATTTATAGATGTCATGCTAAATTTTCTCTAGTTTGAATTGAGGTAAGGTGGGTCAAATTAGATAGGTATAAAACTTTCCTAACATCAATTTATGTACATACGGTTTGGTGTGGCATTTGCACAAGTGAAATATTTCCAATATGTTTTATCTTAATTTAGATCCCATTAACTTTGCTTCAAAAATTAATAATTTTTTTAATTTTTTCCATTTTTTTATGCAATACAATTAAATATGAGCATGCACAAATATGTTAATACCAACTCAGACCCAAGAGCTCATCCAAACATATAATGGATAGCACTGGCGCAGGGCAACTACCCATTGACAATTTTACCTCTATTTGATATATACAATTATACACTTTTTTTTAGCAATACAATAATGCACTTTCTAGGAAAATAAAAATTTATCATAAAAATTTAATAATATGACTTATAAATGAGTAAAAAATCTTTTCTCTCACTTACATATAAGACTAGGTAAGCATTTAAATTTTATTTGATTGTACCTACCACAAAGAAAATATTACTTGTATTTCTTAACGTAAGAGTTAAATAACTGATTTATAAATATTAAAAAAATCAATTGATAAATATACTTGGTTTTTCTAAGTTGTTTTATTTAGTCTTGTCTATCGAAACTATCCCTCATAGGACTTTTCTTAACATTTATAATCAACAAGACTATTCTAAAAAAACATATATATAAATTTAGGAGACGAGATGATTTGAGGCCTCTCACAAATAAAAAATATAAATTAAAATCTTATATTTAAAGTTAAAATTTAACCTTTAATTCACTCTTATAATAAGTGATCCAAACTAGTATATTTAACGATTTTAAAAATGTGAGAAGAATTGTGAAAGAAGCGAGGATGATAAGATGAAAGCGTGTGAAACGCAACAAATGAGGAGGGAGGGACTTTGCTTTTGATGCAAAATAGTGACCAACTTTACCCACAAAAGACCTAATTTTGGATCACAGCAAATAACACACAAATGTGACAGACGCAACCATTTTGTATAATTCAGATGCAGCTTCACTGTGGGGTGCATTTATGAGGCCAACTTAGCAAAGCCCTCCTTCCAAGAGACTTGTGTTGGCTCACGAACCTTCTTTCTCTCTTCACTTCTTTAGCTCTCCATCACATTCCTTTTTCTATATCATACTTGTTCATTCTTCCCTTTTCTTTATTTATATCTTCTTCATTCTATCCCATCCTCTTCCTTCAGCCGTTTTTCCCTTTTAAATAATAAGACATTGCCCATTCAGCCACCCCTTCTTCTTATTCATTTATTACTCCCTATTGAGATCTTATATGTAACATCTCATTAAAGATTTATGTTGACCTTAAATATAAGAGATCAGTTCATTTTATCTTTTAAATTTTATGAATTTTTTATTAAAAAATATCTCTATAGATTGCGTATATTAGGCAGGTTTGTGTTAAGGAGTAATTTTAATGCAAATTAAATAGAGAGCATTAAAAGTTAGAGGGAGTATTATATATATAAAAAAATTTAGATAGATTGAGTTTTGAGGGGCCACCGTGGTAGAAACAAAACCTCATGATTAAAAATTACTTCCAAAAGTATTTAAAAATTACCTACTAATGATATCTTCTTGTGAGTAGAAATATTTGATTGTTTATTTTGATATTTATACTAAATTGAGACAATTTATGAACTTACTGTATTATGATTTTTAAAATTTTTTTTGTAAGAGTCTGATTTTTTAAAATGATTTTTTTAATAATAAATTGTTGAGAATTATTTTTAGTTGAAAATGTAAGAAATTTAAATTCTGCATTATTGGAAAACAATCGAAATTTAAATTCTGCATTATTGGAAAACAATCGAAATTTGATAAACGAACGAAATAAGGATTCGTCCAGGGATCCAAACTCTTGTCTAAAGTATCTTTTTCATTGGAATGATTTTGAACACATATTTTTCCGTATCAATCTAATTCAACAATATTTCCTAATAAATTTAACCAAAAGCTCAAAGGCTAAAATGCTAAATTCCGTAGAATAAACGAATTTTAATTTAATGTACATGTAAATATTGTACACTATCAAAATTTGATAACAATAATGATTAAGAAAAATTCTGTATAATTTAAGCAATGAACAGATTTTGTCTCTTCTTAAAAATGGAACTAGATATCTTTTAGTTTTTATGCACATTGTACCCTCTAAATAAATATAACAAGACTATTTATGTTAACTAAATTGTGATCCAGACTTTATAAGTGATATTGTTAATAATAATTAAAAGAAGAAGACGAAAAAAATATGGACAGATAGATATATACGTTGGGGAACTAATCTCCCGACGGCAAAGTTAAATATGCAGAATTATGGCCATAAATAGAGGGAAAAGCCACTTTGAAATTTGCAGTGTGCAGCAGACTTCCCACATTAGAGGCGCTTTTCCTCGTCAGGCACAGAAGAGAGAGAGAGAGAGAGAGAATTGAGGGAGAGAGAGAAACATCAAAGCTTTGCACAAATCACGCTTCTGTTGAAAGGAAATATGGCTAGCAAGGGAAAGAGTTTCACATTCATGTGAGACTCCCACGCAAAAGTGGGAACCTATAGCCATTGACACAAGGCAAAGCTTTCAAAGCTATTTCAAACCACTTGTGAGCTGAGAGAGTCAAGAGGCCTCACTTTTCCTTTTCCCCAGTTTCCCTTCGCTCCTAAAACAAGGAAAAAAGGTTTTTTTTTTTTTTTGGTTTAGGAGGGAAGGGACCTCAATCAATGGAGGAGAAAATTCAGTTTGTAGTTTTTCAGCATTGCTGGTTTTGCCTCTTCTTCTTCATCGTCTACACTATTACTTATACTGTTCAAGCTTTTGATTATGCCGATGCTCTGTCCAAAAGCCTTCTTTACTTTGAAGCACAGCGTTCCGGGAGGCTGCCGTACAACCAGCGGGTCTCTTGGCGGGACCATTCTGGCCTCACCGACGGTCTTGAACAAGGGGTTAGCTCGAATTCTTAACGCCCATTTCCCACAATTCGTTCACATTCCGAGGTTGAGCTTTTCTTAGTATGCCAATCGCTTTCAAAGATTGAAGAAGGTTCGTTTTGTGCAGGTGGATTTGGTGGGTGGGTATTATGACGCTGGTGATCATGTCAAGTTTGGGCTTCCAATGGCGTTCACTGTCACTATGCTCTCATGGGGTGCTATAGAGTACAGAGAACAGATTGCAGAAGCCGGTGAATTAGAACACACAATGGAGGCAATCAAATGGGGCACTGATTACTTCATCAAAGCTCACACTAGCCCGAATGTGTTATGGGCAGAGGTAGCTGAATTCATATGTACACATGTTTTTAAATTTGAATTCTTCCACACGCAACAAAACTCATTGTTATTCAACTAGAAATTGATTATCAGAAACAATTGTTGTGTGTCAGGTGGGTGATGGAGACACTGATCACTATTGCTGGCAACGTCCAGAGGACATGACAACATCACGGCAAGCTTACAAGGTGGATGAACAAAATCCAGGTTCAGATCTGGCCGGAGAAACGGCAGCTGCCATGGCTGCCGCCTCCATAATGTTCAGAGAAACAAACCCACATTACTCCCACCTTCTTCTGCATCATGCCCAAGAGGTAATTAAGCTCTCAAGTTCTTGATTTGTTCTGTATACAGAAAAAAGTTTCTGCTGAACCTGGACTGCCACTTTTATGAACAACATTTGAATCGGAATAATCCAAAGTTCTCTAGTGTAAATGTTAGCGAAACAAAGTCAAATTTGAGGTTCAAACATGTTATATTCTCCTAGAGACGGTTAAGGTATCTCAATTCATGATAAGTATATATTTTGTTTTGTGTAGTTGTTTGAGTTTGCAGACAAGTATAGGGGAAAGTATGATGAAAGTGTTGGAGTAGTGAAGAGTTACTATGCGTCGGTGAGTGGATACATGGACGAGCTTTTGTGGGCAGCCATGTGGCTTTACAAAGCCACCGACAAGAAGCAGTATTTTGAGTACGTCATTTCCAATGGTCATAGCTTCGGTGGCACTGGTTGGGCCATCACTGAATTCAGCTGGGACGTGAAATATGCTGGCCTTCAAGTCTTAGCATCAAAGGTATGGGAAAAAAATTTTTGAACTCAGTTTCTCTGTGTATATATCAGTCCCTTTTCAAATTTGACTCTTTTAGTTTATTAGAACAAATTTGAAGGTAAAGTTGCCTTGAATCACTCTCTGTTGTCTAATAACTGTCTCCTTCCAAAAGGGGTCAAAATATAATGGTCCACAATGTCTTCTGCTTTAATTTGATTTTCAAACCAGTTTTTGTTTTTTACTCCCCAAGTTCCTCAATTCTCACATGATTTCAAAATTGGATGATGGACCAAATCTTCAAATCTTGGCACCTTCATGCTTGGTTTCTAAAGGTCATACATGGAGTGTGCACTAATTAAGGCATATTATCTGTTGAGGTTAAAAGTTTAAAACTGGAAGAAAATGTAGTCAAGCACAAGCCATGTGCTACTGGTTCTTCGTATGACGGTACAATTAAAGTGGTCCGTCTCATGGCTGAGCCAAATGTCCAAATATTAATGGTGGCAAACACTGAATACCTTACTTTTTGATCCAACAATATATTAAATTTTTCTTTTTACTTTTGAAACATTAATATTTCTTACACGTGATTCAGGTTTTTCTACTACGTTAAAGTTGTATAGTTATTTATTTTTAAATAAAATCATATTTTATCTTGTGAGATTGTGACTTGTACTTTCATCCCAATTCACACTAGCACTTGAAAATTAGCAAATTATGTATCGTATATTATTTTTTTTTAATTACAAAAGTAAATAAAAAATTTGATTTTATTTTAATGAATATAGATAGATGTCTATCAAATATGCGATGATGTGAAAAATGTCAAAATGGTAATAATTGAGTCCACTAATTGGTTATCTGATGGGCATATATCTTGACCCCCAAATCATGAGGGCAGTGAGATTGGAGTTGCGTGCCCCACCTCCACAGATAACCCTGTCTCCTGCGGAGGGCATAGCATACCCTTTTGTTTTATTATTATTATTATTTTTGGTCTTAAGTGAAATTAAAACAAACAGAGTGATAGAAACTATTTGTACTCATGTGAATCTTGCATAAATAAGTTTTATGTTTATCTATTTCTTCTAAAATTCATTTGAAGATATAACTTCTATCCAATTAGTTGGGTTGTGCACAGTTAAGAATCTAATTCCCATAGAAGGCCTAACATGATGAGAGGGATTCTGAAGTCTGAATTTGGTGAGGTTGGTGAATTTACATTGTCTTTCTTCTTCCTTTTTTCTTTTCTTTTTAAAGTAGACATGTGATGACCAACTTTAGAGGGATCCATAACTTCAGAGGATCTCATTCCCATGTCAAAGATAACTTTTTTAGTGGTAGTGTAAGATGATGCTGATATTGGGTTGAAGATTGATACACATGGCCCTCACATGCCTTGGTCCTGACACCTAACTTTCGAACAGCTAAATGTGAGGTTAAATTGAGATTCTTGTGAAGTTTCTATGGATGGCTAATCCAGTCCATAACTTTGAGAAGTCCGTAGGATCTGTGAATGAATGATGAGAATTCATTTATGACATTGCTTCATTGATTAATCACTTTGCAGTTTCTGGTTGAAGAAAAACACAAGGCCTATGCTGACACGCTTGAACAGTACAGATCAAAAGCAGAGTTCTTCATGTGTTCATGTCTGAACAAGAACAATGGCAGCAGCAACAACAACGTGGGCCTAACCCCAGCAGGATTACTCTACATTCGTCAATGGAATAACATGCAATACGTCTCAACAGCATCATTTCTTCTCACTATATACTCTGACTTCCTTCACAACACAAACCAGAGACTCACCTGCAACGGAGTAACCATTAGCCCTGAAGAAATTCTAGGTTTTGCCAAGTCACAGGTTGACTACATTTTGGGTTCTAACCCCATGAACATGAGCTACTTAGTGGGTTATGGGTCTAATTACCCCAAAAGGGTTCATCACAGAGGGGCATCAATGGTGTCCTACAGAGAGAATAAAGGGTTCATAGGGTGCACACAAGGGTATGACCATTGGTACAGTAATGAAGAACCTAACCCTAATGTTGTTGTTGGGGCTCTGGTTGGAGGGCCTGATCTTGGAGACAAGTTTGAGGATCGGAGGAATAACTACATGCAGACTGAGGCCTGCACATATAATACTGCTCCTTTGGTTGCAGTTTTTGCCAAGTTACTGGACTTACAGAACCACAACTTGATGGTTCCTGAGTCTGCTTCTCTTATGGTTGCTTCCTTTTAAGTTAATGATATGGTAAATAGTGATATAGTATTCATGTTTCACAAGGCAATTTTAACTTTCTAAGTTATTAAAAATATATATTTTTTCCCTCCTCATTGGTGATTGATTTCGTGGCAAACGCGGAATAGGAAGTCCTGCTCACATGTATTCATTATTTATTAGTGCCATACAAACTGCTGATGGTTGGTGATGATAGATATGTGGTCTTCCGGTCAAAAAAAAAAAAAAGATATGTGGTCTGTTATTTTCAAGGGGAAGTAGAGATGGGGCAAACTTGTCCCTTTCCAAAGAAGAATACATCCAAAGAGATTGGGCCTTTTTCTTTCTCTGTCTCTTTCTTTCATTCGGCCATATGTAGTGGAGGTGGCTAATTCTAAGTAGACATCATCCAAAACCTAATTATAAACTGAAATATACTCTTTGTTCTTCATTTATTATAGAGTACATTATTTATCTTTTTTTTTAAATGTGTATATATTAAATAGGGTTAAAGTTGAAAACTTGTTATATTTTAATGGAGAGTTAATATAGTTTGGGATTTTTTTTTTGTCTGTGTGAAATATGTTGTAAGTGTCTTATAAATAGTATCATAGGAGTATAATTTATTGTTATACATGAATATTTTAAAAAATTCATGTCAAGATTTGTTGGAATTGAATAGTTTATTTAACTTTTAAATATATTTAAATTAGTTAAATAATTTTTATATTAATGAGTGAAATTTTAAATATTGAGAGTATTAAGAATTGACCCTTAGCCTCTCTGTCTATAACTCATCTTACTTCTAACACGTGAAAAGGTATGATTATTTTAATAAGAATATTTATTTACCCTGTTTCATTTGATGTCAAATGAATGTCAAATTATTGTTTAAACAAAAAAAAAAAGACATTTCAATATCCTCCTGTTCGGCCCGTCGACCACGGCAATTAATGGAAAATTAAAAGGGAAAATGACAGATAAAGAAGGCTGAAATAATAAAATGCCAGAATGGGAAGCTAAGCAAATGTATTACCAGATAGGGAAGTGTTGCCTGATTTGGGATTATGCAAATGTTGCACAATTACAAAACAGCCCCTCATATGCAAACCGAAAAAGTGACCGGTGGAAGTGTGGAAGTTGTGGCGGGAGCTGGAGGAAAAAGTTGGGAGGGACCACGAACGTGGGAGCATGAACGCGCGAAGCAACAACTGAACGACGGAAGCGAGGTTAGTATCCAGTGACTATATTGTTCGCCTGTGTCTTTTGTCCCTCTCCTTTATGCGCCGGTTGATTTTCCTCTTCCCGTTGGATGGCAATGTCGTCGATGTGGGGATGGTTTTGAGGTGGAGAGGGTGGCGAAGCATGGAGACGGCGTGGGTATATAGAAAGTGTGGGGGGAAGGACGGTGATCAGAGGGTGAATGCACGAGGAAGGAAAAACACTGAGGGAGAGGGGTTTGATGGCGTCACAAGTGGGTTAGAGTGATTAGTGTCAGATAAATGGACAATGTTGGAGGGAGATTCGAATAATGGAGTGGATTGATTCTGAGAAAACGAAGCATTAGTGTGGACAGGAAAGAAATGATTGTTTTGTTGCAAATTATAAGCATGAATGTGTCAAACCCTAAGTTGGTCGTGTAAGTTGATGATGATGGTATTAAGTCATATAATCATTCGACTTCTGTTATGTTATCAGTGCAGGTAATGAAGATAAATGAATTTCGCAGCTGGGTCATCTTGTGGGAAGGAGCTGTTCTGTTATTTTCATGTGGGGGGGAAATTTGTGACAAATGGTGAAGGTGAAGTGAGATATAATGGAGGTGGCGTGAGGTTAAGAAGCATTAAGGATGGGCTGACACTTGATGAATTGAGGCTAATGATATCTGAGTGGATTGGTGGCGATGGAAGAAATTATGACATTAAGTACACAGTGGCCTTTGATGAGAAGACATTGATTGACCTTCATGACAATGCTGAAATGTATAACCTCTTTCAATACAATGGGAACAGCGGTCATGTGTATGTCGCCGAAAAAAGACAAGTGGGTCCCCAACCAAGGGACAATGTAGAAATGTAAGTGGAGTTTGTCCTAACTATTTGTTGTCATTTATGAATTTCTTCTTGTCATTTGTGTTAACGAGTCTTGTCATTATAAATGCAGAACAGAGAGATTTATGGGCATGTCACAGCAAACTGAACTGGATGCGTCTCCCATTAGTTTGTGTTGTGATTATGGCTGGCTCAGTGAAGAAAATGCTCGTGAATGTGACAATGATGAAATAAGTGGGCCCCCTAATGTGGATAAATCTATCGGAGCTGAAGATACGGATGGTAGTGAGATGGTTCATGCGGAATGGAGGGGACTTTTAACAGGAGTGGGCCAACGTTTTCCTAGTGCAGATGTATTTCGGGTGTCTGTATACAAGTTTGCACTTGCAAACAAGTTTGTGGCCAAGTATATGAGGAATAGCAAGGAATTCATGTCGATAAGGTGTAAAGTTGAGGGTTGTCCATGGAAGCTATGTGCAAATCATGTGGGGAAGAGTTGTGATGTGCTACGAGTGACGACATTTATAAACCGGCATGTTCATTCTGCCCAAGATAGCTTGGACGTGATGCATAGTGGAAGAGCTAGTTTGAACTCATCAATAATAATTGATGAGATGAGGGATCATGCAGACAAGCGCACTTCTGAGATAAGGAAGAGGTTGAAACGAGAGTATGGGATTGATCTAACATATAAACAGGCTTATAGAGCAAGAGAGAAGTCACTGGAAGACATATATGGCAGGCCCGAACAATCATACATGCTCATACCATGGCTATGCGAAAGGATAAAGGAAACAGATGAAAAATCAGTGGCTGAATGGACTGCTATTGGGAACCGGTTTGAGCGTGTTTTCATTGCTTACGGGGCATGCATTGAGGACTCCTTTGCTTGTGGACCCTTCCCCTTCTTCCAACACCATCTCGTATAGTTCTGCAAAGTCATCAAGGTACCATCATTAAATCATAATTTTAATACATTTACTACACATCTAGTTCTTTCCAGATTCGTTATGGTCATTTCCAATTAATTCATTGTCATTTACAATATGGCCATTACAGAGTGACAGTAAGGATGCTGGTATGAATATGGTCGTTTCCAGTTAATTTATTGTCATTACCAATATGCCCATTATAGACTAACAGTTAGGTCAGTACTATGAATATGGTCATTTCCAATTAATTCATTGTCATTTACAATATGGCCATTACAGAGTGACAGTAAGGATGCCGGTATGAATATGGTCGTTTCCAGTTAACTTATTGTCATTACCAATATGCCCATTACAGACTAACAGTTAGGTCATTAATATGAATATGGTCATTCCCACTTAATTCATTGTCATTACCAACATGGCCATTACAGTCTGACAGTAAGGTCATTACTATGAATATGGTCATTTCAAGTTCCTTCATAGTCATTTACCAGTTTGGTATTGTCATTTCCAGTTTATTCATATAATCTTTCCACTCATTCAGACAGTAAGGTCATTACTATGAATATGGTCATGTTAGGTTCGATCATAGTCATTTACCAGTATGTTATTGTCATTTCCAGTTGTTCATATAATTTTTCCAGTCAATCAGACAATTTTCCTACTGATTTCAAAACCCATTTTTCCAGTTCTCAACTACGTTATTAAAAACAGAATAGCTTGCCATAGCGACTCAGCATAAACCCTTAATCGCCATTCCTGTCATTCACAAACTTCATCGCGTCATATCTAAATATTGCCCTATCATTGATTCCCAGACTCACCCAGAAACGTCGACCACAGCACGAAACTTAAATGCCTGAACTTACCTCACTGAAATGCTGTTGATGCTTGTTAACTGCAATGGTGAATCACCGTGCGCCAACCTTCGTCTTTCCACACAATCAGTCAGACGCGACCACGTTCGCCCTTCGAACAGCACGCCCTTCCACTTCCAACTCCTCTGCTCTCTTACGCACACACTATTTCGGGGTCCTCAACTGTCCAGCTTGCCGGCGTTTTTAGGGCAACAATGGGGATGGTGGAAGCGAGAAACCGGGAAGCACGACGGTCAGTGCAGGAGTGTTCGCGCGCGCCTTCTCTCTCTCCGCTTTCAAACGCTGACTGACAGGGGCTGTTTTGTAATTGTGCAACATTTGCATAATCCCAAATCAGGCAACACTTCCCTATCTGGTAATACATTTGCTTAGCTTCCCATTCTGGCATTTTATTATTTCAGCCTTCTTTATCTGTCATTTTCCCAAATTAAAACGCCCATGCACATTCATGCGCTGGAAATTTTGAACATGTATGAATGAAGTTGGCTGCATTGACTCGTTCCGACGGAACAATAATTTCCCATGGCAGTGACGTGTTTGACTGGCTTCTGATCCCATTCAAACGAAAATTGTGTAATTAGAAAAAAGAAAAGAAAGTCTTGAGGGTTGCCTGTAAAATGTAAATAGCAATATGAAAAATTAATATATACTACTCGTTCTAATTATAAGACCTTATTTATAATATAAAAATAAAATCTTTTGACTAAAAATAAAGTTTACAAATAAGATCTTATAATTAGGATCGATAGTATTATTTAAAGATTACAAATTTATAAATACTCATAATTAAATCTTCAAATTAAATTATGTCTAATCATAACATCAAATTGCCGTTACCGTTTCTTAAAATGATAACCTGAACTCTCCACAATTATTATTATTATTTAATTTTTTATAGTACAAAAATATTTTTATTGTGAGACAGTAATGAATATAAAGGTTTTGTGAAGTATATAACTTATCGTCACAAAATTTGAAGCCTCAAATAGTACTTAAAAAATATATGAAGTTTTTTTAGATGAGATAAAATAATAAATTACTTATACCGCCGCCAGCCGCCATTTTAACACGTTTTATGTTTAACGACATGATTTAATTATTATATTTTGATAAAAAAAAGGAACTCTAGTCTTTAATAGATTGAGTGCTGTCATTTTATCACCAAAAAACTGCATGAAAGAAAAGTCAAACCAAACCAAAAACAAAGACGCGTTCTTCCATTCCATCATATACATACAGCCGTGAGATAAAAGAACTCGAACCAGAATCCATTTCATGATTTCATCTCAGAAGGAGCAAGTAGACACCACACCAATGGCTAAATCTCTCTGGGTTTCTCTGGTTCTGTTGGTGTTCTTGAATTCTCAGATTCCTTCTTCACAAGCTCAGCAAGAGTACGTCAACAACAAGCAACTAGACTGCGACAGTGGTGTCACCTACAATGCCACCTTAGGCAATCTCTGCAATGGCGTCTCTCGTTCCTGCAATTCTTATCTCACTTTCCGATCAATCTCTCCTCTCTACAACACTCCTTCCTCCATAGCTTTTCTCCTGAACTCCACACCCATTGCCATAGCCAAAGCCAACAACATCTCCGACGTTGCTCCCATCCCCGACAACACCATGGTCATCGTCCCCGTTAACTGCTCCTGCTCCGGCAGGTACTACCAGCACAACGCCTCCTACGTCTTGAAGCAACAAGGAGAAACATATTTCAGTGTTTCTAATAATACCTATCAGGCTCTCACTACTTGTCAAGCGATTGAAGCTCAGAACACTTATGATAAGCGGAATCTCCTTGCTGGGATGAATTTGAATGTGCCTCTTCGGTGTGCATGTCCCACGAGGAAGCAGGAAGATTCTGGGTTTAAGTATTTGCTCACCTATTTGGTCGCTCTAGGAGAATCGGTGGCTTCCATTGGTGGTCTGTTTGGGGTCGATGAACAGAGCGTTTTGGATGCCAACGAGCTTTCTTCGACTTCTATTATTTTCTATTTCACGCCAATCACGGTTCCTCTGAGAAAAGAGCCCGATCCAATCAAAGTGGCCTCTCCTCCTCCTCCGTCGCCGCCGCCGCCTCCTCCTACTACAGCGAGCTCTGCTGACTCTAGCTCTTCCAAGAAATGGGTCATCGTCGGAGTCACGGTCGGAGCTGTTCTTATTCTTCTCCTTGGCCTGTCGGGATTTCTCTTCTGCTACCGCCGCCGCCGCCGTCAGCGGAAATCTCAGCTGCCTTCTTTGGCTCCGACATCAACCGAAACCACCAAGAAGACCACAGACTCTGGTACAACGCAGTCATGGTCTATTTCTTCGGAAGGAATTCGCTACGCCATTGATTCGTTGACAGTTTACAAATTCGAGGATTTGCAGAAAGCGACGAGTTTCTTCAGCGAAGCTAACAAGATCAAAGGATCTGTGTACAGAGCAACTTTTAAAGGAGACGACGCTGCCGTTAAAATCTACAAAGGCGACGTGTCGAAAGAGATTAGCATTCTGAAGCGACTCAACCACACCAACATCACGAGGCTCTCCGGTTTCTGTGTCCACAAAGGAGACACTTATCTGGTTTATGAGTTCGCCGAGAATGGCTCACTCGACGATTGGCTTCATCCTAACGACAGAAGCAAAAACAAGTTTCAGAATTCATCTTCGACCCTAAATTGGAGACAGAGGGTTCAGATTGCTCACGATATAGCTGATGCATTGAATTACCTTCACAACTACACCAACCCTCCTCATATCCACAAGAATCTCCAGAGTCGGAATGTGCTTCTGGATGGGAATTTCAGAGCCAAAGTTTCAAACTTTGGATTAGCAAGAGAATTAGATGATGAAGAGGGTGGATTTCAAGTGACAAGGCATGTGATAGGCACACAAGGGTATATGGCACCAGAGTATATGGAGAACGGAGTGATAACTCCAAAAATGGACGTTTTTGCACTTGGGGTTGTGATTCTGGAGCTGATATCAGGGAAGGAAGCCATTGTTGGGGATGAGAAGCTTCTGTCCTCGTGTGCGAGGGAGGTGGTTGAAGGAGAGAATGTGAGGGAGAAGCTTCGAGGATTTGTGGATCCAAGTTTTGGGGATGAATACCCATTGGATTTGGTATACTCCATGGCACAAGTTGCTAAACGCTGTGTTGAACAAGACATTAATTCGAGACCAGGCATTTCTGAGGTGCTCACGACACTGTCCAAGATTCAGTCATCTACGCTTGATTGGGATCCTTCCGATGAACTTGACAGGTCAAGATCTGTTAGCCAAGTGTCTGAAGCCAGGTAGACAGACGTCAATGGCTACTGGAGACTGGAGACAGAGACACAATCAAATAAGTCTCTCTCTCCAAAATTCTCATACCCTTGAATCCATCTAGAGTGGCGCCTCATGCTCATGGGACATGAGAGCTTCCTTCTCATTTTTGGCTGCTCACTTTTGCAGCATTATTATCAATCTGTGATCACGGGTGATTATTGCTCCGCATAAAGAGTGTTGATTTGTTGATTCGGTTGGTTTGATGTCTTTGTTAATGGGCAACCTTGGAAACCTCTTGTCGCCACTGGGGGGCTAACTTTCTCTGTACACTTGAAATTTTCTGTTGGACTGAAATTTGTAGAAAATAATGTAATACCATTTATCATGAATTTGCAAAAACTTAGAGCATGTTTGAAGAGAAGTTGATCTCTATGGATTTGATTTGAGGCAAGGAAGTTTCAATTTATATCCCATTTTGAATCTGTTACCTCCATGCAATATGAGCTCATAAGGCTATTAATGATTAATTTCACTGGTCCGGGCTCGAACTTAAAAATGTTAGTTTTCTAATGAAAATATTAAGCATTTTATCCTATTTATTTTTTATATATGAATATTCCAATTAAAAACTATTGGAAACCACTTTTCTTTGCTGTGTATCATTAAAAAAAAAAAAAAACTTGCAAACCATTCTATCAGCTTTGTCGTCAATAGTATGGCCTTCAGCCTCCAGCCCGGTGCCAGGCACTAGGTTCGACATTTAGTTACACAATGAATTGTAATTCTTTATACTTCCACAATGGACGTCCTAATTCAGATACAAGAATCAACGAAATTAAGGCCAAGCAAATATTATTGAGGAAGTCAAAGAATTGAGCAGCAACACAGCTGAACAACAAAATACATTCTTTCAAGCATTAGTGGCACATATCCGTGGGATTGAGATTTGCATCACGGCCGAACTACGCCACAGCTATATCTGAGACAAAGGATTACACAATACAATAATACAGAAAACACAGCACAGATCATTGTGGCAATCCACTGCCCAGTAACTTGTATGAGTTGAATGTCATTTGCCTGCTGAACGCATGCATCAACTAGGGCACTTGCAGCTATACTCATGACCAATTAGGAATATTTGCTGTAGCTTCATTTACCATTTTTACCAAAGTCACCTGCAGAAAGTAATTGCAGAGTTGTAAATCTGATCCAACCCTTGAACTTCAAAAAAAGTTTGCGCTACAACTACTGATGATGCAGAGCCATGGAAATGAATGCTATATTCTAACTATAGGTTTGTACGTAGAATTTATTACAGGCGTTCTTTTCAGCTCAGATTCTAACCATGGGGACTAGCACGATCAGTCTACAACTATTTATGCCTTTTAATATTGAATTTGCTCAAAGGAAAACCAAACTTTTAATCATCTGGTGCAAGTTTTTGTGAAGATTCAAATCAAATAAACCAACCAAATTAAGACAGGTTCCAGACGTTTCCAAAAGAACATTACATTGAGGAAAATAGGTAAAACCAAGGACAACATGATCATTACATATCTTGTCAGTAGTAGAATACCAAGGGTGATGAAACATACCACACTTTCTGGAACACCAGCTGGAGGCAATGGAAGATTTTTTGGTGGAGCAACACGGTCATACGATCTTTTGTCGAACCTCCATTCTCCAATCTTTCCATAGGTAAGCTCACCCTGAATATTATGAAATCACATAATAAGAAACAAATGCAAGATGCTGAATATAAAAGGGAGGCAGATTTCCATCCCTTTGGTTTGTTGAAATATACATCCGTGCCCCTCATTTTCTTTTTCCCATTCCATTCTCCAATGGATATTAGAGTAAAAAATGCCCAGGAGATCAATCTAAATACAGTACCTTCATGGTGTAGTCACATCCGTATGTGTAGTGAATTATATATGTCTTCCCAATTTTTTTGTCCCATGGAGGCTGTCACACATAATAAAAAGACAAATAGTTGTAAATTTGGTTGTAGAAGATGTTCATATGATGAGAATAGCTAAAAGCTAGTATTTTAGACTAATCCTAACAATTGAAAAGAAAGGAAAAGAGACCAACCGCTTTCAAATTATAATAACAGGAAAACAGTCCACCCTAAGAAAAATGATGCAATGCATATCATTGGTTTCATATGGCTCAGCATGAGCATTGAAAAATGCAAAATTCATCACATATTGCATTCTATTTAAGGGGAGAGTATAGACTGGATGAATATATCATGTGACAACTAAGTTATTTGGTATCGTATGATATAATAGATGAAGAACATGTTTGGTTTCACATTGGACAGAAAGGTCCTCAGCAATCAAAGACAGCCAGTTATACAAGCTTTAACGAGCAAAACATGAAATTTTATGCTCAATATCAATATATACAAGACGAGGGTCTAATCAGTCCAAGATAGCAAAAGAAAAGAGAACCTGAATCATGAATTCCTTGTATAATATGTTGCCAACACCATGAAGAGCAGATGAAACAGCATAAGCATACCTATTATATTAGTAATACAAATGTAAGAATCCAGTTGTAGTAACTTGGTCAATGAAACGAAAATGGATTAGAGGGACTTACATTTCAAGCACCCAGCCAAATGCTTTATCTGTTTCAGGATCTTTCTTCATTGCAATGGAAACATTCATCCAAGTGGGAGCAATCTTCTTAAGGGATTCCTGACATTTTTTCAAACAAAATCAATCAATCAATACCCAAATTTTGAAAAATATACATCACTAACACCAAGGAATTGATATATACCTTCCCAACAATAACTGGTGAGTTTCCTATAGGGTCGATGTTGGTAACTGGTCCATTTTCCTCAGGGAAATACTTCCTCAATACTTTCTCATACTTCTTGGGTTCAATGTAGAAGAAAGGAAATGCTGCTCCAAGCCCGTCTCTGGATAAGTTGGGTATAGGCTTGACAATTATATGATCCGGCTCAGCCATCAATATGTAACTGAAGCATGATGTAGAGGGTATCAATAAAGTCAAAAATAAATAAAAAGATCGGTGATTTGTACATAGAAATTTGAAGCCCCATACTCTTCTTTGATATCTGCTTCCTTTAGCCATTGTACAAAGGCCCAAGGTCTGTTGAGGACTATATAACCCTGTATAAACGAATGCGAGCATCACAAGGTTTATTTTCATTCAGCCAATAATAATAGATAAAAAAAGAAGATTCATAAAGATAAGTTATGAAGAATCTTATTTGTTACTCCACAACAAAGATGGGCAAGACTCTTAAATTATATTCATGTGTATTCTGCTTTTCTGTGTGCACAGTTCCACTGACTCCAATCATCTTTTCTATGAAATTAATAATTCTTTAAATAAGATTCTTTGGTGCTCAGGGTAAAGCCTCCCAAGTTCAAATATCTTACAGTTTCCATAGCCAGAAAGGGTAAGTAATGATTACAATAATTTAACAATTCATGATCTGATTTGATGTAGAACAAAAACACTGATAAACACCAAGCCATAACACAATTTTTAATCCTGAATTCTCCATCACAAGCTCCAATTTTCAACTTGCAAAGATATCATAAACTAAAATAAGTAGCCTTATTATCTTCATCCCATACTGCTTCACAGTTACAGCAGAGAATATTCATATTCAGTCATTGCAGCCTTGCTGATATAAGCTAGATGTGTTAGCAAGGATACTTCTGTCTCCTGGTTAATAAAAGTATACTAATTAGTCAAATAGATTTGCCACCTTGAGTCTATGATGAGACTTGTGAAATGAATTGAACTTCCTTCTCTATTCTTCCTGTTTTCCATTCTTCTATATTTATTAGTTTCCATAACTTCCAAAATTAAACTCTCAAATCCCCAATTAAAAACGCTAAACCCCGAACCCCAACTTAAGAGGACATCATAAACTATTCTTATTAACACAACAATCATCGTTCCATATAGCACCAAAATCATGGCAGAGAATACCATCTAACGCGCACACACACAGAGACAGTAGAAAAGGACACAGTCCAATTTTGCCTTGATATTGTTATCTTCTGCCTTCTACAGCCGAAGAAGTAAAGTAATGATCACAAGGATTCAGCAATAAGCCACCGGATTGAACCAAAGCATTCATAAACGCTAAATCATAATTCTTAATCCCAAGTTCCCAATTTACAAAGACATGATAACTATCATCCATCCATACAGCATCACGATAACAGTTGAGAATGACACAGAAAGCTTATGTATGCTTCGTCAATGTCCTCTTGCCAAAATAGAACCTTCAAAAGAAGACCCAAAAGCACAGTCCACATAAAAGGGCGAAGAGGAGGAAGCATGAAGAATAATACCTGATCCATTCCAGCAGGCAAAGGCTGGGCAACAAAGGTGGGGATCTCATCCATGAGATTGTCAGGCTTCCCGGAGTGAAGAATCCTTGTGAACCCACCCATCTCCGAATTAGGGTGATTCTGGAACTTCTTGAACCAGTAATACATGATTCTGCACTGCCAAGAATTGTACACCGAATCGGAGGCCGTGACCGCTGTGTGGAAGAGCCTCTTGGACTTGCCATTGCCTCTTGATCTGTCAAGTGGCATCTTAATTATGGGATCCACAGAAATGGAGGACCTTGAAGGACCAGGAAATTCTTGTTTGAGAGAGGCATTGGCCGATATGAGAATATTGTAAGTGATCAGAGCTACCGAGAAGCTTATTAGAATTGCGAAGAACAAATTCCCACACCCCATCTTTCAGATCTCTCTCGCTCCACTGTCTCTATTTTTTGCACATAAATGCTTATATGAAGTTTAGAAAGGCCCAAGCTAAAAGGTCACAATTTTGGCTCTGAAGAACAACGCAGGCGGCTTAGTCGTCGTTGTCTGGTGAAGTTGTGGAAACCCTCTCTGATATTAGATGCGTATAGAATTCAGGTCCCACTGACATTTTTGTTTGACTGTGCAGTGCCGTTCGAAATATCATATCTGGCGTGGGATGATATCAATAAAAAAGGAGTCTTTTTTATCAATGAGAAGGAAAGATTGCTCAACACAATATAAAGAATGATGGCGAGAGTCGGTTTCCTATGATTTTTCCACCGTGGATCAGGGAGTGTTTTCCCAACCTAACTCCCACATCATTGTTTAATGTCAATTCAAGATTAATTAGTTCACGTTTAGTCGATCAGACAGTCACTTCGTTCGGTTAATTAGGACAGAATGGTTGGACTTGGTCACTGCAAGATCAAGTCAACATGGGAGCATCATTCTTAAAGAAGTTTTCCTTTTCCTTTTTGATTTAACTATAATGTAGAAATAATCTCTCCATGTTCATTGCAAGTTGACAGCAGAAGATAACCCGGTAATCTTTTGGTCAGTACGGTGCGTGGTTATATTTTCATTAGCTTAAGCTAATTATCGTGAAGAGAAAAAGGAAAAAAAAAAAAACCATATTGAGAGTATTTTTTAAAATTTTTAATTTGGTATTTACTTGTTTTTTTTCTCTTAATTAAATCTTTAATTTTGTTTTGTTAACATTATTAACCATTGCATTTAGACTAAAAATGTTAATAGAACAAAGTTATTAGAGTTAATGTTGTTGAAAAAAATGATTTAATTAAGAAAAAAAACATAAATACCAAATCCAAAATTAAGAGAAAATATAGGTACCCCCCATATGCTTTTTCGAAAGGAAAATCCCAGAATCTTCTTAGCTTCAGCTCCCACTTCTAGCAGTAGGGTATGGTTAAGGAAAAATGACTTCCTATGGAACACAGAATATTATAAAAAAATCCCATCAAACTTAATAATTAATCATAAGTCTCAAAGGAACTTGAATGTTCTCCGGTCAAAAAAAAAAAGGAACTTGAATGTGATAAGAGAAAACATAAAAAGATTATTTTGTTCTTACCAAAACACATTAGAGAAAGGGAGAATTGCAATTAGATTTTAAAAAAATGATTTAATTACCCAAGGTCTCAATGACAAATGTGAGTAACAAAAATTAGTTGTCATTTTTTATATTAAAATTTTTCATTGCATGTTTTTCTGTTGCCAACAGACTTTAGGATAATTAAATCCCTTTATTAGGATTTAATTTCAATTCTCCTTGGAAAAACGGTGAAAACTGATTTTGAGCCCTATTCTTTGTTTTTGTTTTTTGTTTTTTTTGTTTTGGCTATCGGCTAGCTCACTCTCCTCTTAAAAACTGGTGCTACATCTTTGTTCACCATTGTGGTAATCTGTCCACTGCCGCACGACCCCTACCCAATCTTCACTTCAACTATTTTTCCGATTCTATATTCCAGTGGTATCTAACAGCAAACATTGTGGATTGGAGCTGGAATTAAGGGAGGGCTCATGCTCTTTCATCGATCTTAGCTCCGTTTGAAACAAAAATAGGCGTTGAATCCTCGTAGGTAGAACTCATGCAACATAAGATTGTTACTGATTTTGCTGACTTTCGGAGGCAATTCTATGTACTGTTCTTCAGTGTTTTGATGTAAATAAGAATTGTAAAATATATGCCTTTCCTTCCACGATTTAGAAAGGAGGCCGTGAAAAATCGGCAGATTATGATGAAGACATTATTTCTCCAGTGGATGAGGTGTAAGTCTAATTATTCAATCGGATGAAAAATGGCAGCATGGAAGGGAGTACGAAGTCAGGCTTGAAGGTGTGCGATTGTGTACCTGACTTTTGGCTGCTATGAAGATTCTTGCTCTTGATACCATTTAAATACTATCTCTGGCCCTTATTATAAGAGTTCATTTAATTTTTATTTTGGTCATAAATATAACATTATAATTCATTTTGCCTCTCATATTTATATATATTTTTAAGATAGTTTTTGTAATAATAGTAGTTTTAGCCAATAGATTTGATTAGCAAAGACATTTTAAGAAAGACAATATCTATTTATTACAGATAACTAACTAAACCAGTTTTTTTAATCTATTCAAATTAGTCAATTAACTCATATTAAAGATTGGAGGTAGTATTATTCCATTGATAATGCTTATGGTTGATGGTGCATGGTTTGGTCTTATTTTTCTTTTGCATCTTTATCAGAATTGTCCTCTTGGAGTAGCAGCTTGCAAATGAATTCCCTGTTTCTACAGTCGTGAAGGACTATATAGTCTATTTCTTTCCATTTTGTGGGCTGTGATTTGCTGACTTTGAGAACAATGTCACCAATTTGTACATTGAATTTTTTCACGTTAAAAGGCCAATCATCCGCAAATGGGAGAAAGATCTCAATGATTACGGCAATCTACCTCAATGATTATGCTGTATGTCATAATAAATATTAACAATAGTAATGGAGGAAGCAATAAAAAATTAACAAGTGAGAGTGTTTACATTAACAAGTAAAAGTACCAAAATGATAACCTATTTTATATCAGAATATCATATAAGATTATATCATATTATAATCAAAATGTATTATATGAGTATATCTAACTTGAAATCATGTAATAACAAATAAGGGTACTTGTAATTAATAATACTATATTTTTATCAGCATGAAAATGATAAAGTAAGTATATATTGACAAGTGAGGAAGCATGTAATGACAAATGAGGGTGCTTTCATTGACAAGTCTCTTCACTTTAGAATATATAACTTGTCAATTTTTGATTGACATATTATCATTATAAGCACCTTCACTTGTTTAATAGGCAAGTATATATAATCTATTTTGTAATTATAATAGTTAATACATACCATAACAGTTGTTAATATAACTAATTTAATTGTTAATAATAAATATGTAATGTGAGTTAATATTATTTGTTAATATATGTTGGGATATTTGTTAATGTTTTTACCTTAACTTGTTATTTTTGTGATACTAAAAGTCTGATACAAAGTTATATTTCTCTCACATAAAATGACTTGTAAATGCAATATATGGATATATTCTCCACTTTAAGTTATATATAATAATTTAAAATGGTTTTATTTTAAATATGAAGTTAATTATTTTAAAATAATATAAATTGCATTTTAGCATAAGGTGGGTATGTATTTTCTGCACCTTCTTAGCTAATACTAGCACCTTGACTTGTAAATGCATAAATTTTCATTTGTCAATTTCTTGCCGCTAAAAATTTGATATAAAATTATAATATAATATGATTTCAATTTACATATGTTTATACAATACATTTCTTTGTTTTTTTTTTTGATAGAGTTTGTACAATACATTTCACTTATAAATATATCAAGTAATACAGATTTTTAGTCTGGCAAAAAATGTAATTACAAAAGTTGTGCACAAGAATTTGGAAAAAATACATATTTCCACAAGAGTTGAGTATAAAATATAAGAAAACATTGATTATTAATCTTAACCTATAAATAGATCATTCTTTTGCTCATAAGCTGAGAAGTAACAAGCATTTGCTTAAATAATGTATGCCGGGTATGATGTTGTAATACAATAAAATAGTCTACTACTATATTAGATGTTATTTATACTTTCTCACTTATCAATGGTTGTACTTTAACTCGTAAATGAATATGCTCACTTATCATTTATCTGCTACTGGTAATATCATGCTTGTGGAACAACACTCCTAATCCAAATATTGCGTAAAGTGAAATGCTAAATATTCACTCATTCATCTTTGGCCAATCAAGATTAAGTGGTTTAATAATTGTTGAACATTATAAGGCAACAAGGAGAAGATTTACTCCTCATGAGAGCAGTGACCCAATCTCATTGAAAGAGGTTGATGATTGGAATGAGTGGTGTAAAGATAATGAGGACGAAGAACAAAATAATGAAGAAAATTACAATCTTTAGAGGTGATAAATTGACTTCAGGATGATGTACCCTTAGCTACAGGTACTGATGGACAAGCACAATGGATTCAATCATCATTGACATCCACTGCAACAACAAAGACGGCAATGGCACCCCCACCTTCTTATGCTCATAGAAACATCAACAGTGCCAGCAATCAGAGAAGCCAATAGTCCAGTGAAGGGAGTGGAGAAAAATTAAAAGAAGAAAGCAGACGGGAATCAAAAGCAACTGAACTTAAAGCTCTTAAAGATACAAAACAAAAGACAAGATCAAGCAGCCAGAAAAATTAAATTGTCGTGGAGCAAGGAAAAGGACTGTGATAAGAAAGCCGAGCTTGAAATTTTAAAGAGAGCCGCCGGTGAATCGCAGAATCACTTATGAAACAAACCCACCAGAGCATCACCGTGCAGAGGGAAAAATTCCAGTTTGATAGCTCTTGTTCGAATACAAAGGAAAATAGCCAGTAATCATCAGAAGATCAACCTATGCATGGGCTATTTTTGAAAGTTTCAGTCAATAGCACCGGTGAGTTGAAGGACTTGTGAATCCGAATTACACACATTAGTAGGTGCAATGGGGTCTTTTCACATTTTCATTCAATTACAATCTCTTACACTAAGTTCCCTCTGGGACTTCTAATTAATTTGCAATTCTTATGGGACTTTTTTGTTGTCGTATTTTTTGTTCCATGGACCTTAGTGCAATTCTCCCCAAGATTAATGTCATTTGCTCTTGGACCAATTGAATAGGACCTGTTCAAAAGGCAGTGAAAAATTGTGTCAGAATGAGTCCTGCTTGTAGATTTCGAGAAGCTTGAAGCAGTTCTAGCTTAACGTATACTACTCTGTCCCTAATTATAAGAATTTTTTTGGCCAAATTATGCTTTTTAAGAAAACAGTTAAAATTAGTTAAAAGCAATTAATATGTAACAAATATTATTTTTCCAAATATACCCCTAATAAATATAAGAGAGTAATAATGAGATTGTATGGAGAGAAAATTACATGAGAATTTATTAGGGGTAAAATAGGTAACAATGCATTAACTGTTCAGATAAACTAAAAAAGGACCTTA